TTTCACAGCAGGATGCTGAATGTGGACTGGCCTGGAGCTGCTTCAATGAGATGGATGCTCTTAATTAAAACATTTCTTATTTCCAGCTTTGTAGTTACAGACCATCGACCAGGCAGGGAATAGCCTCACTGATAAGCTGTGTTGTTGAAAGAATGCTGAGCTAACACAATGTGGCAGAAAAGTGCACTTTACCAAGTATCCTCCTCACTTGTTATGGATTGATTAGTTTTAAAATATTTTAATAGGTATCAGCAATTTTATGTTCTAGCTGCAGATTTTGGGGAATATTTTATAATAAAAAATGTGCAATTAATTAATCTGCCTCCTAGATTTAAAAGTTAAACATTTTTACAACTCATCATCACCAGGCAATTTTAAATAATTGGCTCTTAAATGTGTTTAATGATGTGTTTAATGTGGCATCTTTTTAAATGAATGATAGCATTCAATTCCTAATTGTTGCCCATACTTAACCTTCATGTAACAATTTTGCTTGCCAATTTTTGATTTTTTTTTGAAGGAAGATTATTGATTCAACTGGACTTTTCTTCACTAGTGAGAGCAGTTAGTATAACCTGAGTGCACCTATCAGGTATTAGAGAACTCATTCTCAGTTCTCTAACTTTAGTCTCAATCCTTTGAACATCTGAAGAAAGGAAGAGCAGACTTAACTCCAGAATACCTGCCTGGAGTGAAGAGAAGGTGAAGGCCATGATTAGGTTCATGAGGAACCATCTTTGGCAAATTTCTCAAAGTGTTGATGATGCTGGAGCTGATACACACCACTCCAACTAGCCATTGATGTTCTCCCATCAATCATTTAATTTTTTTCATCTTCATTCAGCTAAACTGCTCTCGAGTCCACTCTGTGGACCTTGTTAGCCTGTCTACTTTCCTTAGCAAACATCACTCACCAATTGGAAAGACGTATGAAAAAGAAAGTTATCAGTACCAATCATATGCCTTGTTATATATTATACAAACACACCAAACATGGCCCATAAGTTCAATCACAAGGTGGGATTTTATGAGCCTTTTAACCTCTTTGTGACTTCTCCAGCATTATAGGCAACATACATGATCATCTGCATTGCAGTCCTCCCATGAGAAATCAAACTGTATGACTTCCAGTATACTTACACAACTGTTTCATTAGATCCGTCAGTCATTTCACACTGAACCTTTCACTCTGGAACTTCATTTCCCTTTGCCTACATCCTGCTCTCTGTATGCAGTAATGATGGAACATAATAGCCATGCAGTGGGGGTTACAGATTGCTGTGACAATGCACTTTCACAGTTACAGGTGCAGGTACAGATACAGTTGCAATTACAGATGGATTTGAATTCAGGCCAAACTGCCAACATGAAAGATTTCTCTGTACAGCCTTCAGATTCTTAGTGAAGTGACTGGAATAGCCACAAACATAGAGAAAACAAACAAAGCCAACAATAATAAGAGTGAAGGTTCCAGACAGACTCAAAGGGCTTAAAGCTACAAATTCCTTGTGATGGATGGTATTTGCTTTTGGGATTAATGTATGCAACAGTCACAATATTACTGTCTAGATTTACCAGGAGGTGCTACAGATTGGAAGAAAGTTACAATTGTAACCAGAATGGGATAATCAAACCAAACCATGTTATTATTGCTTGTCACTTCAACACACCATCTTGTTCCCAGGCCAACATCTCTGTCTCAGGCTTGCTGCAGTGTTCCAGTGAAGCTCAGCACAAGCTGGATGAACAGCACCTCATTTTCCACTTGGCACTCTACAGCCTTCTGGATTCAATTTCGAGTTCAACAACTTTAAGGCTTAAGCAACTCCCATGTCCTGACGCCAAACCCCACACACCAAGCCTTGTTGTCACATGGTCTGTTATTACACATAACCCATTGTTAGCTACTAACCGTTCTCATTAATAGCTTTTGATTGTCCTAGCCTGATTGTTATTCACTCCTTTGTTTGTCCCCAGCTGTTCTTCTCTCTCTTTGGGCTCTATCTCCATCTGTCATTTACTCCTTACCCTTTACCTCCAACCCATCTTCTGCATTAAAAAAATTCCTAGCTACCATTAGTACTGAGGAAGGGTCACCAGACCTGAATCATTAACTCTGATTACTTTCCACAGATGCTGCTGAGCTTTTCCAGTGATTCCTGTTTTTGTTATTATTTCTGGGAGACGATCCAGAGCAGCGAGCTGACTTGTTTGAGTAAGTGACATCTTGAGTAGACAGTGGTTTTGTGGGATGGGACATCTTGAGTTCGTGAAGCTATTTGAAAAGGCCCATAAGGTATGGAGAACTGAAGGAGAAGTGGCAGTGGCCAGGGGAAAGAAGAGATGTGTGAGTGAGGGGGCAAATGCTGAATGATGCTGAAGGAATCAATGCCTGAACTGTTTATATCAACTGGCCGGTTGATTGGTTATAGATGTCTTACAGTAGAGGGGGATGGAATGGGATCCAGGACCTCACAAAACAGAAATGTCACACTGAGACAATTAATGCAATGTCATTGTGTTTCATTGCTCGCCCACTTTAAGAGCAGAGGCTACCAAAGGTGAGAGCTCAGATAGAAGATCATTGTAATATCTGAGTTAAAGGCTTGCTGTGAAATTACAATGCACCTGATCAGAGAATGATGTTGAAATGGGTAAGGATGGAGTTGAAAGGACTTTGCGGATTCATGCTTTATTAAGCCTGATGGGAAATTGTGGAGTAGCGATCCAGACAGAAAGGAGACTGTATGATATCAGTAAATCAATGGAAGGTGACATTGCAATCAGATCCTGGATGATTTAAAACATTGTGATGTCCAAGTAAAGACCAGCAGCAGTGAAGGATCATGTTGAGAAAGGAGACTGGACCATGATGAGTGTTCAGGCATGAGTAAAGCTAATTGAGAGAGGACCTCCCAGAGATAATGATGGTACAGAAAAGATCTATTTGCTTCCAGTGAAACTCTTTCCTGGGAATGGAATAAATCTCCAGTTGGTGTAGCAGGCAGAGCCTTGGTGCCAGTTAGTGCACTGATGGAGAACAGACTTTTTCAGCTCATGGGGGAATGATTGCTCCTCATCTGCTCTCGATGTGTCACATATTGATCAGCAGCTTCAAGGAGCAGGGGACTGGGATTACTCTGCACTCTCATTGGGCTAAATGGCCTCCATCTGTGCCATAATGACTCTAGAAAGGAACCGACCATCTGCTAAAGATGGCAACAGCTAGTTAACAAGAAACTGTCAATGATAGAACTCACAGAATCTAAAGCCAGAGATAGCTACCTCTGCTGAAGGTTCAATCCCAGCCCCAGGATCTGGAACTTCGAGACATTACTTAGTAATCTCAATTGTTACAACAAATGCCTTCTATCCACATAACAACCTCCAAAACTTCACTTTTTTGCAGGCTCCATCACTAACATCCCTAGCCTGCTCCTTCAATCGTATTGGCCAGTATTCTCACCCCCAATGGATGTGACTGAGTAGTTGGTCATTTTGAAGAATCAGGCACCTGGTTTAGATTTACATTTTTATGGTCATGTGTATCTGAGTACAGGAATACACGGGCACAGTGAAAAGTGTACAAATTCACCATTCTGTGGTTCCATGTTTGTATATAAAACACAGAATTAAAAGCAGAAGCAAAAATAAAAGAAACAGCCAAAAGGAAAGGAAATGTTCAGATCACTGCCCTCCCTCCTTCATGAGTCCTTGCCACCAGAGAAACACAAACCACAAAGTCCATCCCTCAGTCTGCAAACATTCAGTTGCCCCCAGTCCCTGCACACAACTGGAATACCACTGCACTCACTGTCAGCCATGGCCCTGGAGCCATGCCACCACCATGTCACCATCCTGTGGTGTAATCCTGCCTCCGCCGATGTCATCGCTGCCGTGAGTCTGCGCTGGACTGATCTGGCTGGATGCAGCTGTTGCTGAAGCAGCCGGGACCCGAACTGGGCTCAGGCTTGACCCGCTGCGGCTGACATTCCCAGAAGGAACCATTCCCGCTGCTACTGACATTCCCAGAAGGAACCATTCTCACTACTGCAAAGGGCAAAGCTAATTCTGCAGCACACATCTTCAATATCAACGCCAGGGTGCTGTTCTGGATCACAGCGTTTACAATAACCTATATGCTCAACTGTTCCTTGGTATCATGTGAAGTGAAATAATGTGGCTGAGGATTGTGGTGCTGGAGACCTCAGGAGTAGGTCAAAATGAACTGTCAGCTCAGAGCATCCAGCTGATGGTGGCTGCAAATACTTCTGATTGTCTTTCGCAGTGATGTGGTCAGCTCCCTCTTCATTGATGATGGGATTATTTGTGGAGCCTTTTCCTTTGTTTAATTGTCCACAACTATTCATAGACATGGCAGAACTGCACATATGAAAATCAAGCCTAAACTATCCTTCCATTTGGAGCATTGGCCAATGCTGCAACTCAATAAAATCAGCAGGAGCAAACTGAGAGCATATTTATCTCATTGCTATCAGTGGGAGCTTGCAGTTGTCAAATCAATTGCTCTATCTGAGCAGTGATTAACCTTGAAAATGTGGTTGTGATGCACTTCAGGACTTTCATAGGGAGAGAGGTGCTACATAAATGCAAGTTTTTGTTCTCCTTTCTCTTAGCTATTGGCAGAAGTCCCACATAACTTTTAGGTTACAACGAATATCCGTTTGGTTAATCATTAGTCCCTTGTTCCACAGATTATGAAGAACAGAAAGTCAAAGACTAGTTTGGAGTGAACAAGAATTCATGCAAAAAAAAATACATCTACGGCAAGTATTGAGACAACAAATTTTCAAATTGACATTGTCTCAATAAAAGAAACAGCACAAAGTGACAGTGCTTTCCATGGACAGAATAACAATGGCTAAAAATGCTGAAATTATTGAATCTTATTTACTGTCATTTTAACTTTTTTTTAAAGTTGTACACTGTACTGGCCAGTGGTGAGCAATAATGGAACAGGGAAAGAGAAATGCATTTACCCTTCGAATGTCTTTTCCAAAGGTTTCGCTATAACTGGTGCCAAGGATCTCAAAATGAACATTGGAGTTTGATGTACCATCTGCAAATCCCATGGGTCCAGTCAGCCCTACAATTTGACCCTAGGGAGAGAAAAGCAGAGAACAGTTATTGAGCATACGTGTACAGCATCACACAGCTCCTACTTATTCAGAATCGACCCTGAACATTGAAAAGAATCCATAACCCTGTAAAATTTCTGCATAAGACTCTTAGGAGAACAACAACTTCAACAAAGACTGTCATCAGACATGTCAATGAAACTTTACATATACAGTCACATCTAGATCACGTCATTAAACTTAAAACTGTCATAAACACAATAAATTATCTTTGAGAAACACCAATTATTGAATTGTTTAATAATTAATCCCATCATATGAATTCTCAATGATCTTAATCACTCCAAATCACATCAATGTATAAACTATCTGCTTTAGGTCTTTTCCCCAGAGTAGGGGAGTCCAAAACTAGAGGGCACAGGTTTAAGGTGAGAGGAGAAAGATTTAAGAGGGACTTAAGGGGCAACCTTTTCATGTAGAGCGTGATACTTGTGTGGAATGAACTGTCAGAGGAAGTGGAGGAGGCTGGTACAATTGCAACATTTAAAAGGCATCTGGTTGGGTACATAAATAGGAAGGGTTTAGAGGGATATGGGCCAAATGCTGGCAAATGGAACAAGGTTAATTTAGGATATCTGGTCAACATGGACGAGTTTGACTGAAGGGTCTGCTTCCATGCTGTACAGCTCTACGACTCTAGACACAGCCATCGTTTGGGTTTACAGTGGGAGGGCAGGACACGAGGTTAAGTATTTGCTTGCTCTATTGAAGAGCCGGCGCAGAGTAGATTAATCAAATTGCCTTCTTTGTAAAGTTCTTTGAAAGCTCAATACAAATTTGATCCTGCTTTTTGAAAAAGATTTCAGATAGATCCACTCACTTCCAAATTACTCCAGTGCTTAAAATGATCTAGTGGTGTGCCTCAGGGATCGGTGTTGAGACCGCAATTATTTACAATTTATGTAGATGATTTGGAGTTGGGGACCACGTGTAGGGTGTCAAAGTTTGCAGATGACACTAAGATGAATGGCAAAGCAAAGTGTGCAGAGGACTGTGAAACTTTGCAGAGGAACATAGATACATTGAGTGAGTGGGCAAAGGTCTGGCAGATGGAATACAATGTAAATAAATGTGAAGTCATACATTTTGGTAGGAGTAATAGTAAAAAGGATTATTACTTGAATGGTAAAAAGTTGCAGCATGCTGCTATGCAGAAGGACCTGGGTGTCCTTGTGCATGAATCACAGAAGGTAGGTCTGCAGGTACAACAAGTAATTAGGAAGGCAAATGGAATTTTGTCCTTCATTGCTAAAGGGATTGAAATAAAAAGCAGGGAGGTTATGTTGCAGCTGTACAAGGTGCTGGTGAGGCCACACCTGGAGTACTGTGTGCAGTTTTGGTCTCCTTACTTGAGAAAGGATGTACTGGCACTGGAGGGGGTGCAAAGGAGGTTCACTAGGTTGATTCTGGAGTTGAGGGGGTTGGTTTATGAGGAGAGACTGAGTAGATTGGGATTATATTCATTGGAATTCAGAAGATTGAAGGGGGATCTTATAGAAACATATAAAATTATGAAGGGAATAGATAAGATAGAAGTAGAGAGGATGTTTCCTCTGGCAGGTGAAGCTAGGACAAGAGGGCATAGCCTCAAGATTAGAGGGAGCAGATTTAGGACTGAACTGAGAAGGAATTTCTTCACCCAGAGGGTTGTTAATCTATGGAATTCCTTGCCCAGTGAAGTAGTTGACGCTACTTCAGTAAAGGTTTTTAAAAAAAGGTAGATTTTTTTTGAACAATAAAGGAATTAAGGGATACAGTGAGAACGCGGGTAAGTGGATCTGAGTCCACGAAAGGATCAGCCATGATCTTATTGAATGGCGGAGCAGGCTCGAAGGGCCAGACGGCCTACTCCTGCTCCTAGTTCTTATGTTCTTATGTTCTTATGTTCTTATCATGGACAAAACCACTTCCCTTCCCATCAACGTCCACTATTTACAATACAATGAATCCTGGCCATCATTTATCCCCAATCAACAACCACAATAGGTTATTAAATTATTCACTTGTTACCTCGAGAAGTTTACTGCATACAAATTGATTGTTGTGTCCCAAATGTATCATTAATTCCTACATTTCAAATGTTTCACAGGTTGTAAAGCACTGTGGGACATCCTGTCGAAATTTAACAAGAGCAGAAATTGCTGGAAAAGCTTAGCAGGTCTGGCAGCATCTGTGGAGAGAAAGCTCACTTAACATTTCGGATCCAATAACCCTTGAGGAAGGGTCACTGGACCTGAAGCGTTAACTCTCCTTCCTCTCCACGGATGCTGCCAGACCTGCTGAGCTTTTCCAGCAATTACTGTTTTTGTTTCTGATTTACAGCATCCGCAGTTCCTTCAGTTTTCTGTTGAAATGTAAGTTTGTTCTTCTTATACAACACCAACTTCCTTTCATGTCCATGCTATAAATTCAAATTGGTGCAGGTTATTTCCTGTGCTTTCACAGAACATTGATATAGATTTGTTTGGATGGTATGAAATGTGGATAATTGGGCAGTCTTGGTACAAACAACAATTATCTGATTATTGCTATGATCATCTTAAATGACTGAAATCCTTGGAACATTGAGCACTCAATTAGATATATCAGTTTCTTTTCTTTTCCAATCAAGTAACCTTGCTGTAGTTTTGAAAAGGTAGTTTTGTTTTCACAGAGTCAGTTGTGGCCAAGTAACACTTTCAAGAGAAACATGTATATATATAATATTCCATATAAGAGGTGCAAAGTCGAACTGGTTTTGTGTGTTAGGATTCTGCTCAGAGAGTGAATCAGCTCATGTTTGAGTCACAGGACTTTATACATTGGGATACGTTTTTGTATCTTATGTTTCCTACCATGACACAGAATGTAAAATGAGTGGAAATACTGGGATTCTGCAAATCGATTCTCACAAACAGTTGGTGAAATCTGATGTAGTCATGGTTTGAAACGGCACTTGGAACTGATTGGCAAATTAATTACATAATTATCAGGACACATTGCTAATAACAACAGCAACATGCCTGAAGATGCATGGCACTGTCACTGAACCATCTGTGATCACACATAAAGTCTGTCATTTATAGTCTAATACAGTTTCCAAACGCTGTTGTATTTGTAAAAGAGAGCAACCATCAAACAACATAAACTGACATGACTTCATCGGGCAAAAGTCCCTTTTCACGCATTTCCATTCCCAAATATACAAAGCCAATTCTCAGAGATTCGCTGATTGGTTGCCCTGTCTCCACCTGGAGATATGCTCAGGAATTCTGAGCTCACTCTCTGGTTCCCTATCCTCTGTCCCACACTAAGTGCCATCTTTACATGGACTGTGATTAGGAACAGACCTGATCGTTACTTTACACTCAGTACTCCTACACACGGACCTACAAGGCCATTTTATTTACTCACCTTTCAATTCCACCAAGCCATTATGTAAAAACAAAGGATTAAATCTATGTGGGGAATCAGCGGAAAATACTAATTGCTTGATCATTTTAAATGTTCATCTGCATCAGCTGGAAGTTGGCAATGTGATAACACTAATCAAACTGTCCCTTTTATTAACACCATTTATGAAACAAAAAGTGCATTGATTGGAATTTCAGATTTTGTTGGGGGGTAAATTCTGTAACAATTCATAGACGGGTTGAAAGAAGAAACCAAAATGAAATAAAGCGTTGGTAGAATTAATCTATTTCAGAAACCCAGCAAAGAGGGATGTGGACGAAGACTCAGTTCAGTGATGGGTGATAAGTATCAATCTGCACAGGTGAATTTTAATAGGTCAGCTTCTTATTTGCTTGTCTTTCTGAATTTTTAGTAAGAAAAATATCCTGCTTGCTAAACTCTCCTTCCAACACACAAGGAAGCATGAAGCTGTCTCAAAACACCTCAATTTCATTAACACAAAAACATTAAAGCAGGGGAGAGGAATAGTTGTTTCTGATTAATAAAGACTCCTCAATGCAAAGCAATTGATAGTTTTAAGGCTGTGAAGGAAAATGTCAGAATCCCCAACAAAGTAAGCATTGAGATGCAAACTTCAAATCTCACGAGACCAATTCCACAAAATGAGAAAGTGAGGAGTTAGCAAATGTGAAGGAACTGAGGGAAATGGTGATGAAGAGACTGTGAGGTTCAACGAAGATTGTTTGGAGCTGGCAAGGTGGATCTGAGAAACACATGAGAGAAAGGGACCGGTAAAAGAAATGGTAAAGGGGGGATTGAGAAGGAGAGTGAGGAGAAGATTGCGAAAAAGGGTGGGGAGAAGATTGAGGAAGAGGGTGAAAGAGATGATTGAGGAAAATGTGAGGAGAGGATTGAGGAAGAGGATGAAGAGGGGATTGGGGAAAAGAGTGAAGAGGGAATTGAGGAAGAAAGTGATGAGAAAGTTGAGGCAGAGGGTGAGAAAACTTCCTTTGATTCATTTCCTGCAACTGAATCCAACCCAAATGAGAAAGAGATAACAAGGTATAGAGCTGGATGAACACAGCAGGCCAAGCAGCATCAGAGGAACAGGAAGGCTAACGTTTCAGGCTTAGACCCTTCTTCAGACCCTTTTTCTGAAGTGTAATCTCCATAGGAAAATGCAACAGAATCCCCAGCAAAGTGGCATCAGGTGAACTGCAAGAGCTTCCAGAATACAGATTGCCATCCACAGCAGGCTCACTTAGACTCTCACTTTCCATTTGGATCCAGCAGCTGGTGATGGTTAAAATCTGCTCCCTCGCCAGCTCTCAGAGCATTGCCTAGACTTTGGAAGAGACTTTCACTAACCCTGGGTTCCTGCGCACAAAAGGCAAGCTGTCTTTGACCGTAACACAGGTCAGAGTGTGGTCCTGCTCACTAGCTGAAGGATCACCCTGCTCCTTGTTCATTTTATTGGCAGCTCAGGGGAATGGGGGATTTCGGCGCAGAGCAGCCAATCAGGGTGGGCGGAGGGATCTAAATCAATCAGAGTAAAGTGATTGTAATCAGGTAAGATTCACTTCAAAGTGGCCAAGAATGAAATATATCATTACTAGGGATGGAATCTCTCTACGTGAGCTTAACCTTCTCTCTGTGACTGATGTACCTATTGTTTACAGCTGCTTTTCCCCATCATCTGGAGCTACAAGAGGTTTCAAATTTTCAGTTCAGAATCTGCAACAACCCACAAATGGACACAGGCTCCTTGTGAGGCCCCCGGGTCACTCAGGGCTTCCACTGAGTTCCCATGTGGTCTCTTTGCTTCTCCCTGTGGTCGTCACATGCTGCACTCTCATGGTTTTGGTCCCGATTCCCAGCTGTTTGAAGCCTCTTACATTTTGAATGGTGTCCAGCATCGACTTCCCTCCATTCCAGGGTTTGGTCGATTTCCTCATGCAGTTCAGGCTTGCCATGCTGTGCCACTTCCGATCCTCCAGCTTCCTGTGGAACGCTCCAGCCAGTAACAAGACACTGTCATAAAGATAAAGGTTGGACGTCTGTGGAACAAAGAGAGAACATTGTTACTGTCACTGAGAAATCATTCACAATATCCAGCTCTGGGCTGCTAAAGTGATATTTGTGCCACACAAGTGCCAGGCAATGATTATCTTTAACAAGAAAGAATCTAACCAAATTTCCTCAACTCTGAATGGCTTTACCATCAGTGAATATAGCACAGCAAAGGAGGGGGAGGGGTGCTATAAACATCCCGGGGGTGACTATTGAACCAAAAACGAAAATGGAGCAGCCATTTCAACACTGTGTCTACAAAAGCAGCTTTGAGGTTGGAAATCCTGCAGTAACTCCTGTCCTGGATGTTTTTTTTGTCCACAGGATGTGTACATCACTGGCTGGGCCAGCAGTTATTGCTCATCCCTAGCTGTCTCTGAGAAGGCGATGGTGAGCTGCCTTCTAGAACTGTTGCAGTTCATTTGGTATAGGTAGACCCATAATGCCCTTATGGAGAGTTCTGGGAAAACCTCCTCAAAGCCTGTCCACCACCTACAAGGCACAAGTCAGGAGTGTGACGGAATATTCCCCACTTGCCTGGATGAGTGCAGCTCCAACAACACTCAAGAAACGTGACACCATCCAGGACAAAACAGCCGCTTGATTGGCATCACATCCACAGGCATCCACTCCCTCCACCACCAACGCTCAGTAGCAGCAGTGTGTACTATCTACAAGATGCACTGCAGAAATTCACCAAAGATCCTCAGATGGCACCTTCCAAACCAATGGCCACTTCCATCTAGAAGGATAAGGGCATCAGAAAAATGGGAACACCACCCTGTGCACATTCCCCTTCACGCCCCTTAATGTACTGACTTGGAAATATATTGCCATTCCTTCACTGTCGCTGGGTCAAAACCCTGGAATTCCCTCCCTAATAGCATTGTGGGTCAAGCTACAGTAGGTGGACTGCAGCGGTTCAAGAAGGCAGCTCACCACCACCTTCTCAAGGGCAACTAGGGATGGGCAAGAAATGCTGGCCAGCCAGCGACAACTATATTCTTTGAAGAATGACAAAAATTTTCAATTCTAAAGACATCCTAAAGCTATTTACTGCACTAGCTCTGATCATGGAGAGCAGCAACATTCATGGAAATATTTTTCAGATTGCTCTGAAATGATTTGATTCATTTTTCTTGCCCTATTCACTCATACTGCCCTCTGTCTGAGTTTCCCACCATTACAGTGCCCTGAGCTGACACAGAACAGGCCAGTATTTCCAGGGCAGGCTTTAATTCAGTCAATCATACTCTCTGCTGCTTGGGCTGCTGTCTGCTCTCCCTCATACACTCTCCAATCACAGAGCTCGTGGCTGACAGCTCAGCCAATTGGTTGTAAGTTTCAAAATCTCCCCTCCCTCTACCGCATCCCAAAACCAGTCCAGCTCGTCCCTGCCTCCCTAACCTGTTCTTCCTCCCACCTATCCCCTCCTCCCACCTCAAGCCACACCTCCATCTCCTACCGACCAACCTCATCCCGCCCCCTTGACCTGTCCGTCCTCCCTGGACTGACCTATCCCCTTCCTAACTCCTTACCTACACCCACCTTTACTGGCTCCATCCCCGCCTCTTCGACCTGTTTGTTTCCTCTCCACCTATCCTCTCCTCTATCCCTCTTCTATCCGCCTCCCACTCTCTCCCTATTTATTTCAAAACCCCCTTCCCCTCCCCCTTTTCTGATGAAGGGTCTAGGCCCGAAACGTCAGCCTCTCTGCTCCTATGATGCTGCTTGGCCTGCTGTGTTCATCCAGCCCTGCACCTTGTTGTCCCCAATTGGTTGCATGTGTTGTCTAAAACACCAAACACATGTTAAAAGCACAGCAACCTGTCCCAACTTACTCCAATTCATTTCCCTCCAGATGTGGGCATGTTCTAGGGCTACACTCAGCAAGTGAATGGTTGAGGTCCAGGCCCCGAGAATGAAATAAAATGATCTACATTTGGAAAATGTCCGACACTCCCCTTGGGTAACTCCTCACATGGGGGAATACACACTTGGGTATCTGTCTGAGGCTGACTCTCTGTTGTAAGGGGCTTTGTAAAGGTCAGAAACAGTTGAGTCCAATAAGTACCACTGACCGTGAGGAGGTGTTGAGGCCTTGGTGGGAGCGTAAGGCAGGCTCTGGCAGGAGGCAGACTAAATTCTCCCAGCCGACTTTATTTTAACGTGGAGCCTGTTTTGATAACCTGGAAACTGATGGAATAAAGTCCATCTTGTTTATTCCAACAAGACTCTTCTGGTCAGACCATGAGGTTACTTTGGGACACACTGGATCACATCAGCCCCTGAAGAACACACACATACCCAGCAGATACATTTGGCAGCCAGAATCAATGACACAGGCTTATCCTGAGATGACAGAAACATTGCAGGGATCACAGGGGAGGCAGGGCTAATGACTGAGGAAATATGCCTACTTGCTGATGCTGCTGTTCTCTGTCTGACCTTTACTCTGGTGGCCATTCCATCTCTCCCATTGGTTGGCTGGCAGCTCACTCTATAGCCACACATTGCTCAGAAATAAGGAAATTCCATCCAATGAGGTATCACTGCCAAACACTGTCACTGGCTGAGATTGTGAAAGAGGAACTGAAGCAGCTATGAAGCCAGGAGGCATTGAAAATGCTGGTGCTCATCAGTACATCAGGAAACCACCCAAAGGACTGACCAATCAGATCAGTGTTGGATCTCCTGTCTCTGAGGGTTGGACAAAGTATCAAATGCCCCAAAAGATAGGTTCCTGGTGGTGAAGGTGAGATGTGGGAGGTTAGTGTGGGGAATAAGCTGCAGGGGGAGCCAAGAGAGTAAACTCATTCTGTTCACCAGTAAACACCAACCAAGAACGCAGTCTTGCTGACGTGACATAATGCGACAAAAGAAATTACATAGCACCCAAACTGACAACTGGTTCATTTGAAATATTTCAGTGGAAGCATATTCTAGTCTCTTATCAAAAGATACAGTATTCTAATCTTTGACAAAAGGGATCCATTTATAATCATGCTATTGCTGACAGTTATGAGCGTATTTAAATGAGCTGTGAATTGCTGAACCAAGCACTCAGTCTTATTCACTGGAAATTGCCCTGTCAAAGAGGAACCTTCATTCTGGCTGCAAATTGCCTGTTGAGTGCGTCACTTTGCTGTAGCACTGAAGTTGGGTTTCACAATCTACTGACCTGCCAAACAATTAAAAAAAGTGTTTGTGAGACAAAGTATTTGTGTCCATGTGTGTGTGTGTCAATGTGGATGACTATGTAAAAGCAGGAGTGTGCGAGAGATGGAATGTGGGAGAAGGGGTGGAGAGTATGTGTGTGTGAGAGAGAGATGGAGTGTGATAGTGAGAGACAAAGACAGAGAGAGATGGAATGTGGGGGTGAGAGAGACAGAGTATAATAGTGAGAGAGAGAGAAAAATGGGGTGTAAGACAAAGAGAGAGAGAGAGAGAGACAGAAACAGAGTGTGGGAGACAGAGAGCTGGAATGTGGGAGAAAGGAATGGAGTGTGTGAGAGAGAGAAATGGAGTGTGGGAGAATTTGAGAAGAATATTAAGAAGATGATGAACCACCTTTTTGAACAGGCGCAGTTCACCTGGAATTGGAAATCCATCTTCCTGCAGTTTAAGCTATGGTCAAAAATGACAAGAGGTTCATTTTGAAATGCCCCCCACGTGTTCTATAACAGACCCTGCCCTCTCCCCTATAACAGACCCTGCCCTCCCCGCATAACAGACCCTGCCCTCTCCCCGATAACAGACCCTGCCCTCTCCCCGATAACAGACCCTGCCCTCTCCCTGATAACAAACCCTGCCCTCTCCCCTATAACAGACCCTGCCCTCCTCCCATAACAGACCCTGCCCCCTCCCCGATAACAGACCCTGCTCTCTCCCTGATAACAGACCCTGCCCTCTCCCCGATAACAGACCCTGCCCTCTCCCTGATAACAGACCCTGACCTCTCCCCTATAACAGACGCTGCCCTCTCCCCGACAACAGATTCTGCCCTCTCCCCTATAACAGACCCTACTGTTTCCCCTATAACAGGATCTGCCACCTCCCCATTAAAGAATACAACACCTTTGGCACAGTGAATAGACCTATTTTGAAGATGTTGTCACATACAGGAATGAGTTCTCGGTGGGTTGTGTTGAATAATTCAGAGTGTATTTTCATGTCCAATCAGACACTAGTTGCACATGGTGACAGAACAGCACATGCTGAAAACTGTTCACAAGAAAAGCAGCTTCCTCACAGACAGAAGGAAATGCAAATCCCCATTGCAATCATGCAGCTGCTTCAATACAAACTACTTTGAATTGTTCAAATAGAGGGCCCTGAACAGATTTTGTGAAGAATTTGTATTTGTTTCAGTAACATATAAACCTGTAATGTTTGCAGATAGCCTTCCTGTGGGTCACACAGCAGTGAGGAAATGCGATGGTTGTTCCTCATACACCTGCGGTGAGGGTCCTTCGAGGTGGGGAAGATTTGTCGTACGACTGTCATCCGTCCTAGCGTACTGTGGACCAGCTCCAGAATCTCTGAATCACTGATTTCCTGTTAATTCCAAATTGTACAATACATTAAATTAGATATGATTCTTATACAACATACTTGAATATTGTGAGCAGTTTTGGGCCCTGTATCTTAGGACGGATATGCTGACCTTGGAGGGGGGGTGTCTAGAGGAAGTTTACAAGAATGATCCCTGGGATGAAGGGCGTGTCATATGAGGAGCAGTTGAGGACACTTACAGAATACTGAGAGGCCTGGATAGAATGGACATGGAGAAGATGTTCCCACCAGTAGGACAGACTAGGACCTGAGGGCACAGCCTCAGAGAACCTTTATAACTGAGATGAGGAGGAATTTCTTCAGCCAGAGGGTGGTGAGTCTGTGGAACGCATTGACACAGGCGGCTGTGGAGTCCAAGTCATTGAGTGGATTTAAGACAGAGCGAGATTGGTTCTTGATTGGTAAGGGGATTAAGGTTTACAGGGAGAAGGCAGGAGAAACATATCAGTCATGATCGAGTAGTGGAGACGGCCTGTTGGGCGAATGACTGGATTCTGTTCCTATATCTTATGGTCTTATGGGTTATCCAAAACAAGACATTAGTCTTCATACATAGGCTGATAACATTCAGTTTTACTTCACCCACTTCTCTTGAAGTTGCCAAATTACTAGTCAGACATCAATTGTGGGATAGGCAGAAATTCCCTCCTGTTAAATCCTGGGAAGAGTTATGCACTTGTTTTTCGTCCTTATTCAAAATTCCATTCGCTAGCCACTGACTCCACCCTTCACCTGGAAACTGTCTGAACTTTAAAAAATATATCTGTGTCATCACCAACAACACTGATTCCCACCTCTGAAAGATTATCCACTTCATAACAATGGATAGAGAGCTCATCCTTGAAGGAGCAAGGACAGAATCCATTTGGTTAGAATTAAGAAGCAAGCTAAGTAAGATCAACCAACTGCAAGTTTCCATGCAATGAGAATGAGAGAGAAATACATTTACAGTGATATTGCAGAGGTTTTCAAGAAATATCTTTTTTGCTTCTTCAGAAGTAAAGAAAAATATTTTGACAAAATATCAGTGGAACTGGTGAGAGTGGAGGCAATAGATAGGGTGAAAACTGAAACGAAGGTGGTACTGGAAAGGTTGGCTTAATTTATGGCAGGATAAGGGGCAGTACAGCGGCTCAGTGGTTAGCACTGTCGCCTCACAGCACCAGGGACCTGGGTTCGATTCCACCCTTGGGCAACTCTGTGTGGAGTTTACACATTCTCCCTGTGTCTGGGTGGGTTTCCTTCAGATGCTCTGGTTTCCTCCCACAGTCCAAAGCTGTGCAGGCTAGGGTGGCTTGGCCATGGGAAATGTTGGGGTCACCGTGGTAGGGGGTTAGGTCTGGGTAGGATGCTCTTTGGAGGGTTGGGTGGACTCGACGGGCCAAATGGCCTGCTCCCACACTGTAAAGATTCTATGAGGAGTAATTATCTCCATTGCAGGGGTTTGCAGAATTGGAAACAGTCAGTGATTTCAAAAAGGAACTGGTGGGCACTTGAAGGAGATAAGCCTACAGGGACTGAGCAGGACAGATGGGACAACTCTGTGGGGAGTAGCATGGACCTATTGACTACATGGGCAGGTGGTGATATCATGGTACTGTCACTGTGTTAGTAAGCCAGAAGCCCTGGCTAAAGTACTCGGGACATCACTTTGATTTTTAGCATGGCAGATGGTGAACTGTAAATTAAATTAAAATATCTGGGATTAAAAGGCTAGTCTAATGGAAGCCATGTAACCACTGTCAATTGTCGTATAAAAAACCATCTGGTTCACTAATGTCCTTTAGGGAAGGAAGTCTGCCATCCTTGCTCAGTCTGGCCTACAGTCCTACAGCAATCCACATATGCAATAAATGACAGCGTAGCCACGCTCCCTGAACAACGTTTAAGAAACTAGGCCAAATGGCCCCTTTCTATACCATCAGTGATTATGACTTTGTACCCGTCTCAGCTCATTAGCTTCAGAAATTCTCATTCACACCTCAATTACCTTACACTCGGTTTTCCCCAATGCAAAATCCCCAATGCAAACTCACACCTGTTCAGGTTTCAAAACACAGAGCGGGAACACAAAATGGGTATGATTTCAGATTTAATTCCAAAATAACAGTAATCTCCCCGAATGGTTTCAAACATGGACTGTGGCCTGTAATGTTCCAGAGTTTGGAAAAATAGTCGTTGGAGTAGTTGGAGCATCAATGTGGTGTCACTATGAAATATCTCCCACACTCACCGGACTCTGTGTTAGTCAGAGGTAACCGGATCTTTGAGAGTCAGGGCCCTCTTAAAAACGTGAAAAAAAGAGCTGGGTCATGGAGAGAGGGAGCAGTTTACTGGCTTACACCTGAAACTGTGTTGGAAACAGCGTTTCAGTCATCCTCTGAAAGCAAAGGATCCAGGTCTTCACCTCAGGAATTGGTCATGAAATTTAAATAGCTTTGCCCCTTTATTCATCAAAGAAGCACACGCTGTCCTTTGATGCAAAGTTCAAAGGGCTCCATACTATTATTAAATTCTGATGGGTGTTTCAGGAACTGTGTTTATTGACGTGATGTTGTAATGTGTGAAAATATTATTTCCAAATGAGATTTATTTGTTCACCTGGAGTATAAGCCTGTACAAATCCTGCAAATTCTCTCATCATTCAGGGCAACAGCTTCCTTTTCAGCCACACAAGGGACAACACTCGATAACCGATGTCCCAGAGCAGCTCAAACAGCAGGATGTCAAATTTCAAAGTCCTTCTCATTGGTGCTAAGCAGTTTGTTTTAAGCAGAGTTTGGCAGCTCCAGAGCAACTGGGGATGTTTTGAAGTCAAAACCCAGCTGCTCCATCAGGCCCTGGGAAAACTTAGTAACAAATCCACCACTTCAGGAGTTAACTTCTCCCATGTTTTTCTTCCTAGTGCTCACAGGACCACGCTGGATAAACTCATCCAGAACACTCCTGCTCATCTCACACAAAACCTTCTCTCCACATCATTTGTGTCTTCACCAATGTCTATCACAATTTCTTTTACTTTCCCTTACAATGGGATGTGGGCATCACTGGCACGGTTGGCATCTATTACCCATCCCTAACTGCCCTTGAACTGACTGGCTAGAGCCATTTCAGGAGACAGTTAAGAGTCAACTGCATTGCCGTGGGTCTGGAGTCACGTGTAGGCCAGGTGACAACAGCAGATTACCTTCCCTGAAGGGCATTAGAGAATGGGATGGGAATCTGCCACACTTGTTACCATTAAGATGGCTTGTTTGAATTCCAGACTTCATTCAACCCAAATTTCATCATGTGTCCTAGTGGGATTTGAACACATGGTCTCAGTGCATTAGCTAAGGTCTCTGGACTGTTTGACCAATGGGAACATTACTTTACCATCACTTCCCTGCCTGATTCTCCAATATCCTGATCCTTATTTTCCCACCCCTCGGTTGGTGTACTGCACTTGGCTTTTATTCTTTGCCAGCCGTACACCCCAGCAAGTTTCCTGTTCCAGCCCTGGCTATCTCTGTCTCCTCATTTTATGCCCTGGTTTTGTTGTAAACTACACAATCAGATGCCTCTGACTTTTGAAATCTCTTCCTAATCCCCTCCACCATACCAACCTCAACCAACACTGTCAGACTGCTTTCACTGAGCAGAAATTCAATATCACTTGCTATTTATTAGTCAAAGCCTGAATGGATATGGGCTTCAAGTGGGTTCAGTATTTTGAAGAATTGTAAATGGTGTTGAACATTGTTCAATCATCAGAGAGGCTCCCATTTCTGACCTTATGATGAATAGAAGGTCATTGATAAAGCAGCTGAAGATGTTTGGGCCAGGACACTCCCTCCGAGAAACCCCTGGTGAGATATCCTGGAGCTGAGATGACTGACCGCCAACAACCAGAACCTGCCTTTGTGCCAGGTATGACTCCAACCAATGGAGAGTTTCACCTCTGATCCTCAGTGATTTTGATTTTGTCAAGGTGAGTTTGATATACCTGGGTGACACGTTCAGTTACTTCAGAAAACAGTGAAGACTCTATGATCTGGTGTGGGACTGGAGTCACAGAAAGGTTGGTGGGTAAGCAGGCTGCAGTTCTGGAAAGACACTTGTGAACTGATGGTTTTGCACTGATCCAATAGCTTTTTTTAGTGGCTGATAGATTTGCATCATCGTTAGCCACAGTGAAGTCCTGGAAAAGTGGAGGGTAGTGAATGTTGTGCCCTTATTCAACAAGGGCTGCAAAGAAAAGCCTGTGAATTATAGATCAGTAAGTCTAACATCTGTGGTAGGTAAGGTACTTGAGAAGATTCTGAGGGATAAGATATACTTGCATTTGGAAAGACAGGGTTTGATTAGGAGTAGTCAGCATGGCTTTGTGCGTGGAGATCATGGCCTCACAACTTTGTTAGAGTTCTTTGGTGAACTGACCAGGAAGGTTGATAAGGGCAGGGCGGTAGACATAGTCTATATGGATTTCAGTAAGGCCTTAGATAAGGTTCCATGTGGTAGGCTGCTCTGGAAGGTTAGATCACATGGGATCCAGGGAGAGCTGGCAAATTGGATACACAATTGGCTTGATGGTAGGAAGCAGAGAGATATAGTGGAAGGATGCTTGTTGGGCTGGAGACCTGTGACTAGTGGTGTGCCTCAGGGATCGATGCTGGGCCTATTGCTGTTTGTTATCTATATCAATGATTTGGATAAGAATGTACAAGGCATGATCAGTAAGTTTGCAGATGACACTACTATAGGTGGTATCGTGGACGGTGAGGAAGGTTTTCAGAAATTGCTGCAGGATCTTGATCAGCTGGGGAAGTGGGCTGAGAAATGGCAAATGCAGTTTAATATAGATAAGTGTGAGGTGTTGCATTTTGGAAAGTCAAATCAAGGTAGGAGTTTCATGGTAAATGGTAGGGCTTTAAGGAGTTTAATGGAACAGAGGGACCTTGGAGTTCAGTTGCACAGCTCTCTGAAAGTGGAGTCACAGGTAG